TAGTATTTCATAGCCTATCTCCACTTGTAGTTCCCAATGAGGCTCAGGAACAAGTAATTATAAATTCATAGGGCAAAATCTCCAGCAGGCAAAACAATACAGCAGTATCCCAACAGCACTCCCAATAACTGGACGACACACAGTATCAGGAGCAGAACTAAAGATTTATTCACAGCAGCTCCTTATAAAGGATTCTCCCATGCAAGGGAGGGATTTACAGTAATTACAACAGTAACCAATGATACAGAGGTTCCCTCCCCTACTTTCCCTCCCCTCAGAGTGACACTTAATCCACTTAATCCTGGCACCTTTACCCCTGTTTCTTGGATGTACCCTAAAACTATGGGGTACCAGGACTTAAGTGGCATCCCCTGGTAGCCCTGGTCTGGGTGACCAACATACTCAAAATTCACCCAGATCAGACCAGGGGTTTGGGAGTTATAGACATTAAACGATTTGACTGACCGCACACGAAGATGTAGCCGAAAGGAGTTCCATGTATTCTGGCCCTGCGGTCGGTCTTCGTTTGGGAGATGAAATAGACATAAATCCTTGACATCCATAGAGAATACCAGGTTCGCATGAACCCCCTTGTTTGGTATATTGAATTCACCGAACGTGGAGTCGATTAGCCCCTTCGTTCGTGAGTTCTGGAGCTCTGGAGGTCTCAGCGGTGTTCGTGCAATCGAGTGTCCGATTTGGGTTCCAGACACTCGACAACCAAACACCGCTGAGAGTTCATGCGTAAGATGGCCGCCGCCACGTGTTCGTCTACCGAATGGCAGCCACCCAGATACATCAATAAAACCTCAATTAGCTGCGGTTACAAAGGGAATAAAGGTTTAACGAGGGACACACTTCGGCTCTAAGGTGGCCTATGTATTCGGTAGTTTCCATTCGTATAACTATGAAGGAAACTACCGAACTAACATACAAACTTAGATGCAATTTTCACTATACATTCAGTTAAAACAGGCGAACAGTCTTTTAAAACATAATTCTGGCGGACAGTCACAGGCCATCCGCTACAGCCCTCTCCTTCTATGTGACGGACTCTCTCTTTATGCGAAGGACTCTTCCCTGAGGCCCTCTTCCTCTACACCCTGTTACAAATTATTATGCAAATTATATTTTTTCTCATTTATCTAAATAATTGATGTAAATAACAGTCAGTATAATTCTCATGTTATCAACTATTAAGAGTACAATTCAAATTTTATTGAATAAACCTCCTAATGATAACAGTATTTATTTAAACATAAAAAACTTACAATGCACTGTTCCAAATTATTACGCACAGTAAGTTTCAAAACACTTTATAGGTTGTAAAGAACTGAAAATTGTCATTTGTTGTGTTTGCAGCATATTTACTGAAATCAAAAGCTATTTCAATCAAACTTATAACAACTGTGCAATGCTTGTGAATAGAAATTGCAATAAAATGTTAAAATAAAACAATAATGTCCAATATTAGATTAGAAGAGTGGAGGTAAGAAAGAGGGGAGTAAGAAGAGGGGAGTAAGAAGAGTGGAGGGGGGTAAGAAGAGGGGTGTAAGAGGGGGAGGGGGAAGTAACAGAGGGGGTAAGAAGAGGGGGGGAAGTAAGAAGGGAAGTGGGGGGTAAGAAGAGGGGGAGGGGGGAGTAAGAAAGGGGGGTAAGAAGTTCTTTATTTGAAATTTAAAGGACCACTCTAGGCACCCAGACCACTTCAGCTTTATGAAGTGGTCTGGGTGCCAGGTCCCTCTAGGATTAACCCTTTTTTTAATAAACATAGCAGTTTCAGTGAAACTGCTATGTTTATACTGAGGGTTAATCCAGCCTCCAGAGCCTCTAGTGGCTGTCTCATTGACAGCCGCTAGAGGCGCTTGCGTGCTTCTCACTGTGAAAATCACAGTGAGAGCACGCAAGCGTCCATAGGAAAGCATTGACGTCGCGAGCAAGGAGGAGAGGAGGAGTACAGCTCCCCGCCTGGCGCTGGAAAGGTAAGTGTTTAACCCCTTCCTCTCTCCAGAGCCCGGCGGGAGGGGGTCCCTGAGGGTGGGGGCACCCTCAGGGCACTATAGTGCCAGGAAAACGAGTATGTTTTCCTGGCTCTATAGTGGTCCTTTAAGTTTTTTTTCCCTGAAATTTCCTTCTTAAAATGAGGTGCGCCGGTGCGTGTTATACGCCAATATATACGGTAATAAAATCATAAAATCCAAGTGCTGATATAAAAAGTTTTTCCAAGTGTTGATGTATAAAAAAATATATTTATTGTAAGATAAACTTAAAATTAAAAAGCAAAAGTTACACTCACATTGTTTGAAAAATATGCTGAATATGGAGCCAGAGGATGGTGTAGGCAGCTGATAAAGATAAACTGTCCGATCATCGGATGGATAGGTAAATAATTTTCAAGCCGCGTGCTTTCCACCGAATTCTCCCTCTGCGTTCCAGATGTAAATCAGCAGTATTGCGGTAGATGCCGGAAAGATGCCGGTAAATGCCGGAGAGCAATGTGGTGTCGTTCTGTCGTTTTAAATGCCGTCCTTACGCGTTTCGTGAGGCTTAGCTCACTTCATCAGAGGATGTCTGATAGAGGATTCTTGTGGGTTTAAATAGCCAGCAGAACTTCTGGCTTGTGTTAACCCCTTATGGTTTGTGTTAAATATAGCACTGGATTCATTAAATAGTACAAAGCATATACAATAATAGACTTATACAATGTTATAAAACAAGAATAAAATTTATAAATTGTAATACATATTGGACCTATATATACTGCTTATTAAAGATTGATAAATAACATGAATATTTCAAAGTTAAAAAATTATAAAAAATTCACATATAAAAGTAATAATTACATGATTGAACAATTCATTATGTATTTAATACTTGATTAAAACCTTTGTAAGACATAATATGAATTTTTATAAAACTTTTGTAATAAAAGATTAAGAATATTTGAAATTTCCTTCGAAATAAAAACTTTATATTTCTAGTATTTAAAAAAAAAAAAAAGAAAAGAGGGGGATACAAAAAATGTGTTTGTTATTTATAAAAAAGCTCTCAATTCAAAATCTACATTTAAACCATTGGGTTCTCGTGTGTCTAACTGAAATATCCATTTGGCTTCTGCTTTATCTAGTTCTTTTTCTAGATCCTCTCCTCTCCATGGATTATTTACTTTTTGAATTGCCATAAAAATAAGTCCCTTAGGATTCCTTGCATGTATAAGATCAAAGTGTCTCGAAAGATTATGTGAATGGAGTCCATTTTTGATGTTCCTGATGTGTTCTCCCATTCGTGTTTTAAAAGTCCTTTTAGTACGTCCTATATACATTTTATCACAGGGACATTTTAATAAATAAATTACACCAGTAGCTTTGCAATTTAAGTGTGATTTTATTTTAAAAATTTCATTTGTTTGTGGGTGAGTAAATTCTGTAATACTTGTAGATTGATTTGAGTTATTTATACATGCTTGACATTTTTTACATTTCCAAAAGCCTGTTATAGTTTTAAGAGTAGTGGTTTTATTTTGCTTCGGTTTTTCCTGTTTTGTTGTTGGTGCTAATAATAAACCCAGATTGGGGGCTTTGGACTGTATTATTCGGGGTTTATTACTTAATATTCGTCCTAATTGGGGATCTCCTTTGAGAATATTCCAATTTTTTAGTAGAATATTTCTAATTTGATGAGTATGACTATTATACCTTGTTATAAAAGTAGGGGCTTCCAGATTAGATTAATCTTTATGTGGCTTAGTTGCCAAAATTTGGTTTCTAGATAAAAGAGAAGTCTTAGTTAAAGCTTGATTTAAAATTTTACTTGAATAGCCTTTCGCTTGGAATTGTGCTGTCATCATTTTAGTTTGTTCGACACAGATATTTGGTTCAGAACAATTTCTTTTTATCCTTCTAAACGGGATATTGTTTAGCCATGTTCTTTTATGAAAGCTATTATGAGGAATAAAACTATTACATGCTACTGATTTTTTTAAAGTTTTGGTTTCCAGTTTGTTGTTCTGAATATAAATTTCAAGATCTAAGAACTCAAGTTTTTCTGTAGATTGGTTAAAAGTAAATTTTAAATGGTAAAGATTAAAATTTAAATATTCCTTAAAATTTTCCATTATTTCAATATCTCCCTTCCAGATAAAAATACAATCATCTATATAGCGATGCCATGAGACCAGATTTGCGCCAAATGGGTTATTTGACCAAATGTGTTCATCTTCCCATTTACCCATGAACAGATTAGCATAACTAGGCGCAAATCTGGTCCCCATGGCAGTGCCCTCAATTTGAAGGTAATAATGATCGTTAGCCCAGAAAAAATTATGACTAAGAATAAAAGCTACACATTTTACAATATACTCAATTTGATCATTTTTTAGTTCTGAAAAAGTGTCAAGAGCATATTGAATAGCCTCACATCCCTGTAGATGTTCAATAACTGTGTACAGGGATGTGACGTCTGCTGTTACTAGAATATATTGTGAATTCCATTCTATACTTGATAATATGAGTAGTATCCCTTAGGCAAGACCGTAATTTAGGCACTATCTTTTGTAAAGATAGGCATTTAGACGGCATTTAGAACGACAGAACGACACCACATTGCTTTCCGGCATCTACCGCAATACTGCTGATTTACATCTGGAACGCAGAGGGAGAATTCGGTGGAACGCATGCGGCTTGAAAATTATTTACCTATCCATCTGATGATCGGACAGTTTATCTTTATCAGCTGCCTACACCATCCTCTGGCTCCATATTCAGCATATTTTTCAAACAATGTGAGTGTAACTTTTGCTTTTTAATTTTAAGTTTATCTTACAATAAATATATATTTTTATACATCAACACTTGGAAAAACTTTTTATCTTGATCCCAACTCCCCATCCAACTACCGCCCTATCTCGCTACTGCCATTTGCCTCCAAGATCCTTGAGAGAGTTGTCTACGCCAGATTGACAGACTTTCTCGAATCCAAGTCTCTGCTTGACCCCCTTCAGTCTGGATTCCGCGCTGGTCACTCTGTCGAAACTGCTGTGACCAAAGTATCCAATGATTTAATTGCTTCTAAATCTTGCTGCCAATACTCTATCCTAATCCTCCTTGATCTTTCTGCCGCCTTTGACTCTGTTGATCATCAACAGCTTCTTCACATTCTCCGTAACCTTGGTCTACGGGATACTGCTCTCTCCTGGTGCTCCTCCTACCTCTCCCAGCGCTCTTTCAGTGTTTCTTTCTCTGGCTCTGCCTCTTCTCCCCAACCCCTCCCTGTCGGCGTCCCCCAAGGCTCTGTCCTCGGCCCCCTACTGTTCTCTATCTATACTGCCTCCCTTGGTAAACTCATCAGCTCCTTTGGCATCCAATACCATTTATATGCAGATGACACGCAAATCTACCTGTCCTCCCCTGATCTCTCTCCGCCCACCTTGACTCGTGTTTCTGACTGCCTCTCTGCTATTTCCAACTGGATGGCTGCTCACTTCCTTAAACTCAACCTGTCCAAAACAGAACTTCTAGTTTTTCCTCCCTCAAGTGCTGCTACTCCTGTGTGTGTCTCCATCCAAGTCAACGGCGCTACTATCACCTCTACCTCCCAGGCTCGCTGCCTAGGGGTTCTTTTTAATTCTGATCTCTCTTTTACTCCCCATGTTCAATCGATAGCCAAATCCTGTCGCTTCCAACTCAAGAACATAGCGCGCATCCGCCCATATCTAACGCCGGACACGGCTAAGGTACTGGTTCATGCTGCTGTTCTCTCTCACCTTGACTATTGCAATCCCATTCTCACCGGTCTTACATGTTCCCAGCTTGCACCGCTGCAATCTATAATGAATGCGGCTGCGAGGCTTATTTTCCTGTCCGGTCGCACCTCCCACGCCTCCACGCTCTGTCAGTCCCTGCATTGGCTTCCAGTTAGATATAGGGCCCAATTCAAAATTCTGGCGCTTGCTTACAAATCCCTACATAATGCTGCTCCAACATACCTATCCTCCCTCATACACAAGTATGTACCGTCGAGACCCCTGCGCTCAGCCCAAGACCTACACCTATCCTCTGCCCGGATCCCCACCTCTGATGCTCGCCTTCAAGACTTCTCCAGGGCTGCACCTATTCTGTGGAACTCCCTTCCCTCCTCAATCAGACTTTCAGCCAGCCTCCACTCCTTCAAAAAATCTTTGAAAACTCACTTCTTCATTAAAGAGTATCAATTAAACTGTCAGCAGGTTTCTCATCCCCCACCCCATGACTCCGTTCCTGCACCTGTCAAAAATGACCTACCAAGCACTCAATAAACCCTTCTGTAACAAACTATTTAATTCCCCTACTTTAACCCTTTGTGTCACTATATCCCACTCCCTCTAGCATGTAAGCTGTACGACTGTTAATAATTGGACTCTAATCTAATATTGGACATTATTGTTTTATTTTAACATTTTATTGCAATTTCTACTCACAAGCATTGCACAATTATTATCTCTAAGGCATATACTACTCCTGGATACTTTATTACATTTTATTTAATAATTTCTCTTCTATTTGCACTATTAGGGATTTTTAGTGGAGTCTCTTTATTTTCCAGTAGAGTGGTTTAGCCTTGCCATTATTTAGTCTCTAACCAGAGGTTTACTTTTAAAGTAATTTAACCTATTGACCCTAAACTTATAACAACATTTTAACTTTTTAAAGATTTAAACAGGTCACGTTACATTTTAACATAGGACCCCTTATTTGATAGCAGCTTCACAAGTCTTGCATCCATTGAACTTGTGAGTTTTTGGACAGTTTCTGCTTGAATTTGTTTGCAAGATTGACATCTTGCCTCCCAGAGATGCTGTTTGGATGTAAACTGCCTCCCACCCTCATAGATCTTTTGCTTGAGGATGTTTAAAAGGTTCTCAATAGGATTGAGGTCAGGCGAGGATGGAGGCTGTAGCAGAACCCCTTTGGCTGTCCCATTTATTTCCTTTTATTGTTGGCACTGCAGAGTTTTCCCTGTGCCTGGATTACACAGAATTATAGACAACTATATGTGGCCATACTTTGTTCGGTAGAAAGATATACCAGCTTGCATGGGAACTACTATATTCACCATACGAACAAAGTACCGAACAACCGGACCACCCTGGTGGGAAGAATAGATGTAATTTACCTTCCTGATCGCTGGTTGCATTCCCTTGAACGCACGAACACTCTGCTATATTGCTATATTCCATGGGTGGCCGCCATTTTGGCAGCCGAACACGTGGCGGCGGCCATCTTAAACCTGCCAACAGCGGTGTTTGGTCGTCGAGTGTCTGGAACTCAAAACGGACACTCGACTAACCGAAGACCGCTAAGACCTCCAGGGCTGCAGAAAGTACCAAGAGAAACGCACGAACGGCCCGTCGTTCGGTAGGATGAATCCCACGAACTAGGGGATTCGTCCGGTTAGCAACTTCACTATATGGATATGTTCCTCACCCAGATCAGGGCTACCAGGGGGTACCATATTCAAAGGTGTATCTCACATATTTGGGGTACATCTAAAAAGTGGGGAAAAGTATGTACTGTATAATTGTGTTAACTGTTAATCTAAGGCAGGAGATGTGTGGGAGGTAACGTCTATGGGATTGGTTACTGTACTAATTGCATGGGAGAATCTCATAAAAGCAGGATTGTTGCCATTAAAGCTCAGTTCTACTCCTGATACTGTGTGTCTTCCAGTGATTGGGAAGGGTGATGGGATACTTTTGGATTTTATTGCTGATTATGCTGGATACTCTTTTGGATTTATTACTTGTTCCTGCATTCTTTTAATATATGAGTGGAGTTAAGCTGTGGGAAATCAGCTCTCACCATGACTTTCTCTCCTTTTATCCCCACAGCAGCCATTGATGCAGAGGTATTTTTTGCAGCATGAGATGGTGCATTGTGCATTGTCGAAGATGATTTTATTACGGAAAGCATAGTTCTTCCTTCTATACCAGGGAAGAAAGTGGTCAGTCAGAAACTCCACATAGTTTGCATAGTTTGCAGAGGTCATCTTTACACCTTCGGGGACTCTAAAGCGGCCAACGAGCTCTCTTCCCATGATGCAGAGAAACTGCTATGTTTATGAATGGGTTAAGCCTTCTCCTATTCCCTCTAGTGGCTGTCTCATTGACAGCCACTAGAGGCGCTTGTGTGCTTCTCACTGTGATTTTCACAGTGAGAGCACGCCAGCGTCCATAGGAAAGCATTATGAATGCTTTCCTATGCGCCGCACGCGCGCATTCAGCCGATGACGTTGCGAGCAAGGAGGAGTACAGCTCCCCGCCCGGCGCTTTCCTATGTGACCGGCTGAATGCGCTCGCAGCTCTTGCCACGTGTGCGCATTCAGCCGACGGGGAGGAACGGAGGGGGATAGCTCTCCGCCCAGCGCTGGAAAAAGGTAAGTTTTTACCCCTTTCCCCCTTCCAGAGCCGGGCAGGAGGGGGACCCTGAGGGTGGGGGCACCCTCAGGGCACTATAGTGCCAGGAAAAAGAGTATGTTTTCCTGGCACTATAGTGGTCCTTTAAGTTTTCGTGAAATATCTAATTTTTTCATACCTCGTCCAAGGCATTGAACTATTTCACTCTTTTCGGCAGCAGAGAGATCCATTTTCTTCCCCATATTGCATGAAAATGGTGCTCTGCTTAATAATGTGGAACACCCTCCTTTAGTAGTTTTTCCTTAAATTGGGCTCACCTGGCAATCTAATTATCACAGGTGTCCGAGATTGTTTTCAGTGATCAAAAGAGCCCTGAGACACAATGCCATCCATGAGTTAAACTGAAAAACAAAATCTTTGTGACACTTAAATAGAATTTGCATAATAATTTGGAACAGGGTATTTGTGAAGGACTCTTTGTCCCCATGTGAGGTTATTTTCCCACAGTCTCTCTCTCTGCATATCTCTCCCTCCATGTGAATGTCTCTCTCTCCATGTGAATGTGTGTGTCTCTCTCTCCATGTGAATGTCTCTCTGTCTGTCTCTCTCCCCCCTGTCTCTGAGTGACTGCAGGATCTGCATACATGGGAGTGTTAGACTGCCCTATCTAGGAGTGTCTGCAGCAACCCTCCTCCCTGCCTCTCAGCTCCCCTCCTCCTTCTCCCCAGTGTTTGCAGCCCTTTGCAGAGATGGATTTCTTGCAGGAATCTTGGATGCTGATGCTGCGGTGAGGACACTGGGACAGGGGGCACTGCCACGGCTAGGATCAGACTGCCAGAGTCAAGGTGGGCATAGTGCTGGGCTACTGACTGGGGATGGAGCAGCAATGACTGCAGAGACAGGGCAGGCAGGCTGGCAGCTACAAGGTGACAGAGACAGTATGTTCTCAGGGGATGGCGGCTCCACACACGGTGCTTGGCAGGTACAGGGAGGGTGACATGCTGACATGGGGTGACATGGGCTGAGAGGGGTAACAGGGGAGGGCGACATGCTGACAGGGGTGACATGGGCTGAGAGAGGTAACAGGGGAGGGTGACATGAGCTAAAAGAGAGGTAACAGGGGAGGGTGACAAGGCTGAGAGGGGTGACATGCTGACAGGGGGTGACATGGGCTGAGAGGGGTAACAGGGGAGGGTGACAAGGGCTGAGAGGGGTGACATGCTGACAGGGGGTGACATGGGCTGAGAGGGGTAACAGGGGAGGGTGACAAGGGCTGAGAGGGGTGACATGGGCTGAGAGGGGTAACAGGGGAGGGTGACAAGGGCTGAGAGGGGTGACATGGGCTGAGAAGGGTAACAGGGGAGGGTGACAAGGATGACATGCTGACAGGGGGTGACATGGGCTGAGAGGGGTAACAGGGGAGAGTGACAAGGGCTGAGAGGGGCGACATGCTGACAGGGGGTGACATGGGCTGAGAGGGGTAACGGGAGGGTGACAAGGGCTGAGAGGGGTGACATGCTGACAGGGGGTGACATGGGCTGAGAGGGGTAACAGGGGAGGGTGACAAGGGCTGAGAGGGGTGACATGCTGACAGGGGGTGACAAGGGCTGACAGGGGAGGGTGACATGCTGACATGGGCTGAGAGGGGTGACAGGGGAGGGAGACATGCTGACAGGGGTGACAAGGACTGACAGGGGTGACAAGGACTGACAGGGGTAACACAGGAGGGTGACATGGGCTGAGAGGGGTGACAGGGGAGGGTGACATTGGCTGAAAGGGGAGGGTGACATGTTGATAGGACAAGGTTGACATGAGCTGAGAGGGAAGGGTGACATGAACTGAGAAGGGTGACAGTGACAGGGGAGTGTGACAGTGACAGGGAAGGGTGACATGGGCTGACAGGGAAGGGTGACATGAACTGAGAGGGGTGACAGTGACAGGGGAGGGTGACATGGGCTGACAGGGAAGGGTGACATGAACTGAGAGGGGTGACAGGGGACGGTGACATGAACAGGGAAGGGTGACATGAACTGTTGAGAGGGCTGGAACAGACGCTGTGGCAGTTACAGGGGAGGGTGATATTCAACAGTTCCTGATATTCCACCTTCTGATGCTGTTAATGGCGTTGGTTAAATATCAGCAAGGCCTACGGGCAGCCCCTATATGGTGAAGATTTAATAGAAGATGCATGTATTGCTATAGTCAGTTTTCAGTCTCTATAGAGAGTATGCAGTGTATTGTCCCTATATTATCTCAAGTGGTGGAGAGAGAGAGAGAGAGAGAGAGAGAGAGAGTACCCCTCTATACTGTGTACAGACAGAGAGAGAGTACCCATCTATACTGTGTACAGACAGAGAGAGAGTACCCATCTATACTGTGTACAGAGAGAGAGTTCCCCTCTATACTGTGTACAGACAGAGAGAGAGAGAGAGAGTGTACCCCTCTATACTGTGTACAGACAGAGAGAGAGTTCCCCTCTATACTATGTACAGACAGACAGAGAGTACCCATCTATACTGTGTACAGACAGAGAGAGAGTACCCATCTATACTAGGTACAGAGAGAGAGTTCCCCTCTATACTGTGTACAGACAGACAGAGAGTACCCATCTATACTGTGTACAGACAGAGAGAGAGTACCCATCTATACTGTGTACAGAGAGAGAGTTCCCCTCTATACTGTGTACAGACAGTGGCAGAGTACCCACCTATACTATGTACAGAGAGAGAGAGAGAGAACCCCTCTATATTATGTACAGAGAGAGTGTTACCCTCCATACTATGTACAGACAGTGGCAGAGTACTCCTCTATGAGAGAGAGAGAGAGAGAGAACCCCTCTATACTATGTACAGAGAGAGTACCCCTCTATATTATGTATAGACAGAGAGAGAGTACCCCTCTGTACTATGTACAGACAGAGAGAGAGTTCCCCTCTATACTATGTACAGACAGAGAGAGAGTTCCCCTCTATACTATGTACAGACAGAGAGAGACTAACTTGTGACGGAACGCCTTGCACCCCGACCGGTTACCTCCATCAATTGCTGCTTCCTGGTACTTGCGAGCACCATAATGAGAGAGAGTTCCCCTCTATACTAAATACAGACAATGCGAGAGTACTCCTCCATACTATGTTCTCTATCTATACTATGTACAGACAGTGTCAGAGTACTCTATCTATACTATGTACAGACAGTGACACAGTACTCTATCAATACTATGTACAGACACAAAGAGAGATAACCCCTCTATACTATGTACAGACAGTGACACAGTACTCTATCAATACTATGTACAGACAGTGACAGAGTACTCCATCTACACTATGTACAGACAGTGACAGAGTACTCCATCTACACTATGTACAGACAGTGGCAACCGTATAGTAGCCGTATGACCTGTATTAGCTGGCAATACAGACTGCACACTCATGTTAGTTTTATATTTGAAGCTTTTATTAAGTGTTCTTGCATAGCAAGACCACTTAATGTTATCTCACATATATATTATTATTATAACCAAATTTACCACCAACTCCTCCCACAGTTTTTACACTACATAGACCGTAATATACCCAAACGTGTGGATTGTTCCCGATCGGATTGCTATTACTTTGGTTCACGGAATATCGTCGTTCTTGTGGCGCAATTTGTCCCATAGGAATGAATGGCAAAATGTTCAAAACTAGAGTGGGAGCTGGCAAAAGCTGAAAAATCAGGACATTATTTCGAAACTGCCACCACTCCCTCATTTTCAAGCCCTCCTACACAAATCTTATATCAAAACGTTCAGCTATCCCTGCTGCCACTAAACATGTCAGAGACATACTATGCATCGAAATGTAGGTCTGGGTCTTGTGATTCTCACAATATAAAGCTCTTCGCTGTAGGATGTATAGTTTTTAAAATATGACCGTTTGAAAATGGCAACCACCAAAATACTCTGACCTGTCAAGGCTGCAGCAGCAAGTGATGTCATAGACAGGGCCTTTTGTACACCTGCTAATGTTTTTATAAATGTATGGTTTAATGTAACTGTGAAGCACTTTGGACAACAACGTTGCAATTAAATGTGTGTGGCGGAACCAACCTCGCCACTGTGCACTGGAGAAGCCTGGTTGCTCGCCTGCTCCCTTTAGATTATGGCCCTGCAGTTCAGAGCTGTTATTCTCCCTGCTGAAAGGTTTATTCGTGCCTTTCTGCCAGGGTGTTCGGTAGATTTCATATCAAACTACCGAACGATGGACCACCTGGGAGCTGGAGTGTGCCGTCAATTGACCGCCCAGAAGTTGCGGTTAACCGCAGCTTAATTGATGAACGCTGGGTGGCCTTTGTTCGTCTGCCGAACACGTGGCAGCGGCCATTTTACCTCCCGAACGGCCAGCGGTGTTCAGCGCCCAAACTATGGAACTGAAAACGGACACTTATTGGCGCGAACACAGCTGAGCCGCCAGCCTCCTTACCTCACCATTTGGTAAGCAGAACCGAATGACTGTTCATTTGGTAGTTTAACCGGATGAACAGCATCCCTCAGATAGCTAAGGCATGGAGCCTATTCGTGTAACGAAAGACTATGGGAAAGACTTTGGCTCCATGGCGATTGAACTGTATGTATGTGATCTGAGCGCCATTCGGTAGTAATGTGTGCTCAGATCTAAGCTATCTGGGGATATGTAGAATGTATATGTTTTAGATAATAAATGTGACTGTATGTAATTTTATGTCTTTTACTGTATTGTTACTGCCATGAGGTTAATGGAGTTTTGCCTCTGTCCTGGGAGTTAAGTGGATTACTTCCCCAATTATCTCTAGGACAGAGAGGAGGGATTGTGATGTAATTGTGGGAGTGTTAAAGGTGTATGTCTGTGATTGGCTAAGAGCCAATATGTTTCCCATTTGGTCACCTAGGGGAGTGTCCACCAGGTGGGAGACCTGCATAAAAGCCGGGCAGTTAGCCCCATTAAACCAGATTCTGCTTGACCCTCAAACCGAAGTGTCGTCTCGTCTTTGGGGGGGGATTTACTGTATGCTGCTAGAGACTGATTGCCAGGAGTGTAAGCCGCTTGGGGGCTTTTCCTGTTCGTCTGCTAACAGCTATTCGTGTGTCTCTAGTTCGGGAGTTTGGAGTGCTACTTGATATGCAGTTCGGGAGTTTCGAGTATTCCCTTGGTTGCAGTTCGGGAGTTGGTGAATTCTTGGGTTTGCAGTAGCTGTCTGTGCATCTGAAAAAGGGGAATATCGCCTAAACGGTTTTTAACCTCTTGTGGGCAAAACGGTCCGTTACAATGTGCTATATAAATAAATAATAACAGTTACTCCGCCCACTCCAGTTGTAGACTACTGATGGAGGCAAGAACACTTCACACGATTTCCCCAGAAATTGTAGCTTTTCTAGTTTTATGTTATACTTTTTATTTTGTTGTTTTAATTTATGGCCCAACATGGGTCTTAATTTAATGGATTTGAACATGGTTTTTAATATATATTAAAATATTTTTCAAAATAATAAATCATTTTAAAAAAAATGTCCTAAAATATTAAAATGATTTAAGAAATGTACCTACAAATATTAAATTGAGGCCACAGATTAATATAATATTTTAATAGATATAGAATTACAATTATTTATACAACACCAACTTATTCCCCAGCGCTGTACAATAGGTAAACATGACAGACATTCAATTCTAACAAAGCATGTTTGTACCTGCTTACAGGCCATCAGGGACAGCTGCCCTAAAGATTTAATAGGACTTTTTAAGGAGAACCTAGGTTTAGTTACTAGCAAAGTCTTATTAAACCAGAAGATAAAAGCTGCCTGTTAGAGTTGAGGTGCTTATTAGTTAGAAGTCTCACAGCTTTTATTTCTTTTGATGATAGCGTTTGTACAAATATCTGTTTGACAGCAACCGGCTGAAAGGGGAAGTGGCAGTAACTTTGATCTTTAAGTTAAAGTGGAATTTACACAAAGCACAGTGAGTATCATTGTCGTGGAGCTCTGAGATACCTTCATTTGCACTGCACGTTGCTTTGAGGTTTAATGTTGTGGAGCACTGTGATACTCTCATAAATACTGTAAATTGTATCACTCTGAAACTCAGTGATATATGTGAGTTATGCTGCTTTGGAGCTCTGTGATGTATCCAAACACACTATACATTAATGTAATTTTCTCTGCGGTGTTTTATTACTGTGGAGCTTTGTGACATATCCATACACAATTCACATTACCAATAGTTTAATCAGTGTGGAGCTTCCATACACACTGCACAGTACATTGCATTTTAATACTATGGAGCTCTGCGATATATCCAATCACACTGCACAGTACATTGCATTTTAGTACTGTGGAGCTCTGCGATATATCCAATTACACTGCACAGTAAATTGCATTTTAGTACTGTTGAGCTCTGCGATATATATCCAATCACACTGCACAGTACATTGCATTTTAGTACTGTGGAGCTCTGCGATATATCCAATCACACTGCACAGTAAATTGCATTTTAGTACTGTTGAGCTCTGCGATATATATCCAATCACACTGCACAGTACATTGCATTTTAGTACTGTGGAGCTCTGCGATATATCCAATCACACTGCACAGTAAATTGCATTTTAGTACTGTTGAGCTCTGCGATATATATCCAATCACACTGCACAGTACATTGCATTTTAGTACTGTGGAGCTCTGCGATATATCCAATCACACTGCACAGTAAATTGCATTTTAGTACTGTTGAGCTCTGCGATATATATCCAATCACACTGCACAGTACATTGCATTTTAGTACTGTGGAGCTCTGGATATATCCAATCACACTGCACAGTACATTGCATTTTAGTACTATGGAGCTCTGCGATATATCCAATCACACTGCACAGTACATTGCATTTTAGTACTGTGGTTCTCTGCATATCCAATCACACTGCACAGTACATTGCATTTTAGTACTGTGGAGCTCTGCGACATATCCAATCACACTGCACAGTAAATTGCATTTTAGTACTGTGGAGCTCTGCGATATATCCAATTACACTGCACAGTACATTGCATTTTAGTACTGTGGAGCTCTGCAATATATCCAATCACACTGCACAGTAAATTGCATTTTAGTACTGTTGAGCTCTGCGATATATCCAATCACACTGCACAGTACATTGCATTTTAGTACTGTGGAGCTCTGCGACATATCCAATCACACTGCACAGTACATTGCATTTTAGTACTGTGGAGCTCTGCGATATATCCAATCACACTGCACAGTACATTGCGTTTGTTGGGTAATTGAAGATTATATTAGCTTTTAGTGTACTAATAATCTTAATTTTAGTAATGACAGGAGGCGAATATTTGCATATCTTTCTTTACTGAAAACTCCAGCAGCATAGAAACAGTAACAACCAATCAGAAAAAAGATATGGTGCCCATAAAAGGCCCTGTCTATGACATCACTTCCTCTTTCTTTGAAGCGAAAATTAGGTAACAACAAAAACACAAACATATTCAGTTAACAGTTCAACAATATAGAAGGAAACATAACTCCGGTAATTCCATGGTGTAACGGTATGAGAAGGCGAGTTCTTGTCCCGAAGAGAAGACGTTCACGCTGAAATAAAAAGAAAAGGGTGAAAGGTCTCTGAAGTGGACACCTGTCCGCATGCAACAAACATAAGAAACCTGACAATTCTAATGGATACAGACTGTGATAACTATCAACACTGTATAAAAAAAACCGTAAGTTAAAACATTCAATAAGTAAAACAAACATAACACAATGTACATGATCACGAACCCAACAATGTCGTACTAGAGACAGCTACATGTCTAAGCAGTAATACAATCCTAACATGCATGCTATCCTGAACACTAGAACATACACTATATAACACAAGACAAACTAGGGAGGGATCCTATAGGGTGGGAAATATTCGCCTCCTGTCATACTAAAATTAAGATTATTAGTACACTAAAAGCTAATATAATCTTCAATTTTACCACATGACAGGAGGCTTCATATTTGCATTTTTAAAGCTTAGAATTGACTAGTGTGAAGGAGGCGTGAGAGGATTGGCGAAAATAAAATGTCCTAAACGTACTCTCCCGAGTCCAGTCAGCGCAACGCATAATGTCGGGTAGGGATGCGCCTGCCAAGAAGGCTTGGGATGCTGCCGCACCCCTGACCGAATGTGCTCCAAAGCTAGGTTCGATACCTGCTAGTCCCAGTAGCCAGCGTACCCATCTGGCCAGGGTTGTTGTAGACACCGGAGCGTGAGGTCTTACATAGGAGATCAGCAGCTGACCCGTCGGGGTGAGCCGAAGGTTGGCTGTGACTTCCGTATACCTCAGGAGTGTCCTGACAACGCACAGCTTGGAGTCCGATTCGAAGTATGGATAAGACACTGAGGACGAGTCTGATTTAGTCCGTCTAGAAATGGAGAAGGTGACCCCCTCCGGAGTGAGAGAGAAACCGTCCACGTCAAAGGCCCTAACGTCTGACACCCGTCGAAATGAGACGAGGCATAACAAAAGGGCCAGTTTCGCTGAAAGCTGTTTCAGCGATAGAACGGGGTTGTCCGGCCAGCCCCGCAGGAAATCCAGCACCCCATTCACCTGCCAGAGGTTGGAGTATTTGGGTGCAGGGGGTCTTGTAAGTTTGGCACCTCGCAGTAGACGGCATACCAGAGGATCTTGACCCACTGGCCTGCCTTGTACTGGGACGTGCACCGCTGAAATAGCCGATCTGATCACGTTAAGGGATCTATATGATCGACCCGTCGAGAACAGATGAGCGAGATAGTTGAGGATCAGTGGGACAGAGGCAGTAAAGGGATCGGAATCCCTTTCCATGCACCAAGCACTCCAGGCTGACCAGGCGGATATGTAACATCTCCTGGTGCCGGGGGCCCATGAGTCCCATAGGAGGTCTGTAGTAGGTTGCGATAGGCCATGGACCGACCAGGAGCCCCTGAAATCGTCCAGGCCACCAGTTCTAGTTGTCCTTCCAGGACGAGGGGATGGGGTTCCCCTCGAGGTCCCGACAGGAGCAACGGGTAGGTCGGGAGCCGAAGGGGATGGTCGTGCGACATCTCCAGGAGGTCCGGAAACCATGGTTGGCTCTGCCAAAGTGGTGTTATGAGCAGGAGCGATATCCTGTGAGTGCGGGTGTATCGCAGTACCCTTGGGATCAGTGAGAATGGAGGGAAAGCATAGGCCCCAAGGGAGGGCCAGTCCTGCAGGAATGCATCCGCTGCTTCGCCCTTCGGATCCGGAAGCCAACTGTAGTACCTTGGTAGTTGGTGGTTGGTCCTGGAGGCGAACAAGTCTATTGTTAGAGGGCCCAATCGCTGACGTAGCGTCTGAAATATCTCCCTGTTGAGTTTCCAGTCGCTGGTGTCTCTCCAGTGGCGGGAGAACCAATCCGCCGTCAGGTTGGAGATACCTGGGAGGTATTCTGCTTGCAGCGTGATGTTCCTCCGTAGGCAGAAACTGTAGATGTCTTTCGTGGCTTCCGTCAGGTCCTTTGACCTCGCTCCGCCCAGGCGGTTGATGTATTGTACCGCTGAGACATTGTCCATGTGGAGCAGGATACAGCAATTCGACCTGTCTTTGGCCAGGCTGCGGATGGCGAAGGATCCCGCGATCAGTTCCAAGCAGTTGATGTGTAGGCTTGTCTCCTCCTCCTGCCATGGGCCTCCCGTGGAGGCGTCCGTGCAATGAGCGCCCCATCCGCACAGGCTGGCGTCCGATTCCACTATGAAGTCCGGCGAAGGGCCGAAGATCACTTTGCCGTTCCAGGCTTGTATATGTAGTAACCACCATCGTAGTTCCGACCTCACTTCCGACGAGAGTGGGATCCAGTGGTCGTAGGAGTGTCCGGTGCGCAGATATTCTGCTTTCAGCCGTTGCATGGCCCTGTAGTGTAGAGGGCCCGGGAATATCGCTTGTATGGAGGAGGAAAAGAGTCCCACGATTCGAGCGAGCATCCTGAGCGGGATTGTGTCCATCTTCAGGACCCGTCTGATTTCCTTCCTTATTGAGGCTATCTTTTTTGATGGAAGGCGTAGTACACATTCCTTCGAATCTATGTCGAACCCCAGGAATTGGACCGACTGGGAGGGAGAGAGAGACGACTTCTGTCTGTTCACTACGAAACCCAGGGATTCTAGCGAGTGAACGACAAATTTCGTCTGTGATTGCAGCCTGGATGCGGATTCGCAAAAGATTAGCAAATCGTCCAAGTAAACGAGGCATCGTATGCCCCTCGTTCGGATGTGAGCCATCACTGGTCTAAGCAGCTTCGTGAAGCACCACGGAGCTGAGCTGAGGCCGAATGGCAGGCAGGTAAATTGGCATATCCGTCCTTTCCATCGGAAACGGAGGAATTACCTGCATTGGACGTCCACTGGGACGGATAAATACGCATCTTTGAGGTCCAGGCGAGTAAACCAGTCGTTCTCGACGAGAAGGTCTTGTAGAAGGTGGATTCCTTCCATCTTGAAGTGTCTGTAGATTACGAATGAGTTTAACTGTTGGAGGTTGATAACCGGCCTGTATTCGCCCGTCTTCTTCTTGACCAAGAAAATGTTGCTTAGAAAGCCTCCCCCGTCTGGTGCGTATTGTATCGCGCCTTTCTCGAAGAGAGCGCAGACCTCTTCGTCTATTAGGTGGCTTTGTCCTGCTGACATGTGGATTGGGGGAGGGGGGGGCGCTTTGAATGGGTCGGGTGGCGAAGTCTATGACGAAACCCCGAACCGTCTGGAGGACCCAGGCGTCTTTGGTAATCAGTTCCCAGTTCTGGAAGAAAAAGGAAAGGTTGCCTGCAATAAATTTTGATGCATTTGTGTATATAGGTGGACTCACCATTGGAGGAGCGGCCGCGGCCACGGCCTCTGAACCCCCTGGATCTCCCCGTTCCTCTGAACGATGAAGGCCTTTGCGTCGTAGACGGGAAGAAATTCGGGGCTTGTGGGAAAGGTCTGGAACCTGAGGCCCAAAAACGGCTGGTGGCACGGTTCCGTTGTCGACCAGCCCTTCCAAAAACACCTCTTGTGGATGGGGTGTGGAACACCTGTTTGAGAGAGGTTTGAGCCTTGTTCAGGGTTGTGAATAGGTTCACTTGCCTTTTAAGTTCCGCGATGAAGGCATCGCCAAAAAGTAGGCCATGAGCTTTTGGTCCGAATTCTTTAGCCCCGAGGTCCAGGAGCTTGCTGTCAATACGTATTAGTGCCGATCTGCGCCTTTCGACACAAAGTGCGGCATTAGCATTGCCCAGTAGACACACAGCGCGTTGAGCCTATTCACGGATGACATGGGGGTCCAGTTGAGAGTCTTGGCTGAGAGCGAGATCCGCGAAGTATAGCATCTTGGCAATGGGGCCGAGCAAGTCCAGCACTTTGTCCTGTGCCGCTTTCATGCCCTTTTCCGCCCCTTTGCGTGGGTCCCTGCCCGTGCGTGACATGAAGACCACCATAGTGTCGTCGAATTCGGGCGTCAGCGCCACCTTGTCGGGAATTAGTGGCCTGGGACATTCAGTCCTGAGGCGTGCCCGTACCTCCTTCTCCAGCGGTTTGCGCAGCCAATAATGTATGAACTTCGCCAGGTGATCTGGCAGTGTCCATTCCGAGGACCGTGGGTGTCGGATGGTGCGCGGATCGAACAGCGGTGTCCCTTGGTCGTCCAAGAAGACCCCGTCTTCAGACTGGCCGGTGTGGAGGTCGTCGTCGAGTTCCTTGGCCCGGTTGCCGAGGAAGGTCTCCTTGACATATTTTGAAGAGGTGGGGGGAAGGTCTTGCCATTCTTCGTCGTCTGAGGGCGAGCCGTCCCCGTGCCACTCGTCCACCACATCCAGTGCCTGCGGCATGTAGGCATCGTCCTCGTCCGAGGATTGAGGCGGGAAGGACGTGGGTTGTCGGTCCGCGTTCCTAATGCGCTTGACGGGCAACTTGCCCCTAGTCTTGGTGGGGGGAGGACTCGAAACCTTCCTTTGTCTCTTGGCCTTTGACACCTCAGAGCCTGAAGCTTCCATGCGTTCAGGGGGGTTTGTGTCATCTTGGCCGTGGGGTAGCGCCCGCAAGAGGGCCTTTTCTACCGAAGCCGCCACGGCGGCGTTGATCATGGTTTGGAAGTCTTGGGTGCTTTGAGTATCTTCCATGATCTGGGGCTTGTATCGACCTGTTGGGCGAAAACAAGGTTCAGTGGAGGAGAGCCACGTACAGATATAGATTGACTCTGAGTATGTTTAGAAGGCTCTATATGCACGTAATATTTGATTCAGGGCAAAATGCGTATCTCAGTACCTAGGAGGTATGGGCCCTTGTGCATATCAACGGGGTTCGCCCCGGGTGGTGTGCCGTGGCAATCAGAGGACACCCACATCAATTAAATTGGGTCGTCAGCGCCCTTGCATGCGTATCTGGGGGGTCACCCCAGGTGGTGTGCCATGAAAAAATACCCAGAGGACACCCACATAAATTTGCACCCTTAGGTACAGTCGTGTAATATGACCCTGTGTAGGGTAATTAATATATCATACCCCTGAGGGTAAAGTAATGTCAGATCCCCTGTGGGGTATAAATGTATATGTCCCAGCAAGGGACAGTGAGTCAATCTGTACAATTGATAAAGAGCCTTTAATAGTCAACTTCATAATACATTTCATGTGCATGCAATTTCTCTGCCTCACTGAGGCAAAAATACAGTGTGGGAAAAAACTCACCCTTGAAGGGTGTAGGTGTAGCATAAAAAATATGATGGGCACTTGTGAGCAGCTGGGGGGTCACCCTGAGGGCACTCCCCGGTATCGTGGCGGCGATCGGGTGAATCCCGAACCGCCGTGTGTGAAGGTGAGGCGGCCGTCGCGGATCTCGCGGCAAACTAAAAATAAAAATAAAACCCCGGCTACCCTCCACCCGTCCCCAACAGCCCCTGTGTGTGGAGAAAAAGCGGGTCCGCGTGGTGAGTGTGGCACCGACGGCCGCGCCGCCCGCCGAAAGAGAAAATAAGGGGAAAAATAACACAGCAGAACAGAGACACAGGGGGGAAATACTAAAGAGCAGGGGGACAGGTATAGGCAGTCAGGGGTTAAAGTAGTACAATAAAAACACAATAAAAAATACAGCAATACATAAGGTATACTAGAGGTAAAATTACTCTGACCTGTATATGGCTGGAGCAGCAAAGAAAGAGGAAGTGATGTCATAGACAGGGCCTTTTATGGGCACCATATCTTTTTTCTGATTGGTTGTTACTGTTTCTATGCTGCTGGAGTTTTCAGTGAAGAAAGATATGCAAATATGAAGCCTCCTGTCATGTGGTAAAATCTAAGGTTTTATATGTATGGAATATAGATTGAATAATAGCTGATGATATTCACACACACATAGGGACCCTGTAGTTCTTTGTTTTAAGCGGTGATATAAACACTTATGGTTTAAGCGGTGATATAAACACTTATGGTTTAAGCGGTGATATAAACACTTATGGTTTAAGCGGTGATATAAACACTTATGGTTTAAGCGGTGATATAAACACTTATGGTTTAAGCGGTGATATAAACACTTATGGTTTAAGCGGTGATATAAACACTTATGAACGGCAGATGGCCAATAAACAGACTTTGCTTAAAATAAATATAAATTTAATAATACACACTATAAAATGCAAAGCAACAAAACAATACAACTATAATCAATTTGCTGTATTATATATGCGTTTCCATCAACAAGTCAATTAGCTTACTTGACAAGCCTAAGAGTCAACATTACACTTTGTCTCATCTATAATCTTATCAACAAAGGACAATAAAAGCTATTACAAACTTCCCAGCAATACCAGTATACAGAATTAATCATATGCCACCCCTTGCATTAATGATACAATTGTCATTATATTAATTAGTTAAATATCAACCAACCCTGCCAAGTATATACCATCAGTTTAACTACAGTGCGTTTATATAAGGTTTCTGATAGCCTTAGTATATATATTGAACTGATCTACGTCTAAAGAAGGAATCAAGAATGTTCTGACTTAGGAAGTTATATCTGACTCCGGCTGCAGGTAGAATGAGATATAACTGTTCTATCAATAGGGATCAGTTCACAATATAGACACATAGGGCATTCAATAGTCCCGTTTATTTAATATAAAGTAAAGAGAAACCTTTATACATTACCAAGAGTCTAGGATGAATTAATTCAATTTGGGATTCTCCTCTCTGGGTGCTCTGGTCTGTAATTCAGTCTATTGCCCTTAGTCAGTCAATCTCCTGCTTTCTTAGCCCTCTGTTTTCTCCTTTGATCTTTTTAAGATGATCTGAAGATATCGATCCTCTTTTATTTTTCTCACTATTTAACCATTATTTCCCCCTTATCAGTTCCTGCCCCTTGTTTGTAAATGGGCGGTACCTGGGACTTAAATCTGGCTTTTGATTGGTTATGGGCGTATCTTAATATTTAATTATTAATGTGGCCCTTAAGACTTTCCTCAATAGATGGCACTAGGTATGAAGACCTGAATTAGATCATTGATGACCTGCTTAAATAAATGAATTGACCTTTAATTCGCCTATACTGGGGATATTTCAAATTACGTTAAATATCTGTCTTTGGTTATGTATATTGTTTAATTAAAACAGGGTTGGTTATATTAATCATCATGCAATATGTCTATATCCTGTATCAATCTAACCTGTATGATTAACTGATTGATACATTCATCTTTACAAAGAAAAATAGAATCTAATTATATTAGTATATCTATATTACCTTTTACCCCTAAATCAGTCAAGGATGCAGTTATAGGCATTACTGTAGCAATCACACATTTAGTTTACATTTATATATCATGCATGATTCCAATAGATTCATTTAAGTTCTAATATCCTGAAAACATGGCAGCGACCTTAGACTTTGGGCTCGTATGGCTGACAAACACTCTGGATTACCTGTGATGTTTATACACAAACAATTGCATAGTTTGTATACCCCTTTGAAGCTCTGTGAGTTTAAGTATCTCAGGATTGTAAAGTCTCATTGAGTAATAAACCATTGTTCTCGTTACCCTTGTACACCTACAGCTCACATATTGTTTTCTTTTAATATTAAAAATTATGGGGCACCAAATAGCACAACACATTTTAGTACTGTGGAGCGCTGCGACATATCCAATCATACTACACAGTACATTGCATTTTAGTACAGTGGAGCTCTGTGATATATCCATACACAATTCACTTTACCAATAGTTTAATCAGTGTGAAGCTCTGTGATACAGCCATATCTACTGAACATAACTGAGTTTTACTGCTGTGGAGCTCTGTGATGCACTCATAGCAAATTGCAAATCTAGGAGATTGAGGACATTGTGTAGTGAATATAATATATTAAATGTGACGCACATTTCTTCAGTAACTGCTGTGATTGGCCCTGTGTGTGATTTTAGCTAAATTTGCTCCTTCTCTTTGTATAATCAGTATATTTACACAGTGTTCTTGCCACCCCTTCCCCACTGATAGAGAGATTTAAAGGGACACTATAGTCACCTGAACAACTTTAGCTTAATGAAGCAGTTTTGGTGTATAGAACATGCCCCTGCAGCCTCACTGCTCAATCCTCTGCCATTTAGGAGTTAAATCCCTTTGTTTATGAACCCTAGTCACACGTCCCTGCATGTGACTTGCACAGCCTTCCATAAACACTTTCTGTAAAGAGAGCCCTATTTAGGCTTTCTTTATTGCAAGTTCTGTTTAATTAAGATTTTCTTATCCCCTGCTATGTTAATAGCTTGCTTGACCACTCCTGTATGTGATTAAAGTTCAATTTAGAGATTGAGATACAATTATTTAAGGTAAATTACATCTGTTTGAAAGTGAAACCAGTTTTTTTTTTCATGCAGGCTCTGTCAATCATAGTCAGGGGATGTGTGGCTAGGGCTGCATAAACAGAAACAAAGTGATTTAACTCCTAAATGACAGTAAATTGAGCAGTGAAATTGCAGGGGGAATGATCTATACACTAAAACTGCTTTATTTAGCTAAAAGTAATTTAGGTGACTATTGTGTTCCTTTAAGCCTAAATGAGAGTAAATTAGCATTAAACCCTAGCTAGTGTCATTTTGCTGGTGACCCCTGTGATTATCACCTCCTAAGCACTCATTACACCACAGTCTCAGTGTACAATACACTATCTGGGACAGTCGGGACAACGGGACTCATGTTTTCTCCATACAAGGTTTGACTGTACTATTTGTAATGAATAATAATTATGCACATTGCCATTTCCCCCATACAAGGTTTAACTGTACTGGTTACAGTGTTTAGGGTAGGGGTGCCCAAAAGGTAGATCCCCAGATGTTGTAGAACTACAACTCCCATGGTGCTTTGCATGTCTTTAGAATGACAAAGCATCATGGAAGCTGAGGTTTTAAAATAACTGGGATTTACGTTTTGGGCACCCCTGGTGTAAGTTTTGGTTTCCAGTGTGTATGATTTAGCTGTACCAGTTACGGTGTGTGATGTTTGTCGGTGATGGTTACAATGTGGGATGTTTGGCAGTGATGGTTACAGTGTGTGAGGTTTGGCAGTGATGGTTAAATTGTGTGAGGTTTGGCAGTGATGGTTACAGTGTATGAGGTCTGACAGTGATGGTTACAGTGTGTGAGGTTTGGCAGTGATGGTTACAGTGTGTGAGGTTTGGCAGTGATGGTTACAGTGTGTGAGGTTTGGCAGTGATGGTTACAGTGTGTGAGGTTTAGCAGTGATGGTTACAGTGTATGAGGTTTGGCAGTGATGGTTACAGTGTATAATGTTTGGCAGTGATGGTTACAGTGTATGAGGTTTGGCAGTGATGGTTACAGTGTGTGAGGTTTAGCAGTGATGGTTACAGTGTGTGAGGTTTGGCAGTGATGGTTACAGTGTGTGAGGTTTGGCAGTGATGGTTACAGTGTGTGAGGTTTAGCAGTGATGGTTACAGTGTGTGAGGTTTGGCAGTGATGGTTACAGTGTGTGAGGTTTAGCAGTGATGGTTACAGTGTATGAGGTTTGGCAGTGATGGTTACAGTGTGTGAGGTTTAGCAGTGATGGTTACAGTGTGTGAGGTTTGGCAGTGATGGTTACAGTGTATGAGGTTTGGCAGTGATGGTTACAGTGTGTGAGGTTTAGCAGTGATGGTTACAGTGTGTGAGGTTTGGCAGTGATGGTTACAGTGTGTGAGGTTTGGCAGTGATGGTTACAGTGTGTGAGGTTTAGCAGTGATGGTTACAGTGTGTGAGGTTTGGCAGTGATGGTTACAGTGTGAGGTTTAGCAGTGATGGCTAAGCAGCGTGTGAGGCTTGGCAGTGATGGTTATGAAAGTGTGTGAGGTTTGCAGTGATGGTTACAGTGTGTGAGGTTTAGCAGTGATGGTTACAGTGTGTGAGGTTTGGCAGTGATGGTTACAGTGTGTGAGGTTTAGCAGTGATGGTTACAGTGTATGAGGTTTGGCAGTGATGGTTACAGTGTGTGAGGTTTAGCAGTGATGGTTACAGTGTGTGAGGTTTAGCAGTGATGGTTACAGTGTATAATGTTTGGCAGTGATGGTTACAGTGTGTGAGGTTTGGCATTGATGGTTACAGTGTGTGAGGTTTGGCAGTGATGGTTACAGTGTGTGAGGTTTGGCAGTGATGGTTACAGTGTATGAGGTTTGGCAGTGATGGTTACAGTGTATGAGGTTTGGCAGTGATGGTTACAGTGTGTGAGGTTTAGCAGTGATGGTTACAGTGTGTGAGGTTTGGCAGTGATGGTTACAGTGTGTGAGGTTTAGCAGTGATGGTTACAGTGTGTGAGGTTTAGCAGTGATGGTTACAGTGTGTGAGGTTTGGCAGTGATGGTTACAGTGTGTGAGGTTTGGCAGTGATGGTTACAGTGTACGAGCATTGTTTGTGCCAATTATAGTGGGAATTTTACTTTTTAAAGAGGAGCCGCCACTTCCCAAGGATATTTCATATACTATTTACCTATTTTATACTGTATCTATATTTAACAAACATGTATTAGTGAGAGGTGAAAAAATAAAAAATTCAATGAAAAAAATCCCCATCTCTATATCCTATAACTGGGTGCCTCCATCTTAGCTCCCTGTCAATCATTGTTATAAGCTCCGCCCTTTACACCTGGCAGTCAGTATAGAGAGAGCCGCCTCCATCTTAGCTCCCTGTCAATCATTGTTATAAGCTCCGCCCTTTACACCTGGCAGTCAGTATAGAGAGAGCCACCTCCATCCTAGCTCCCTGTCAATCATTGTTATAAGCTCCGCCCTTTACACCTGGCAGTCAGTATAGAGAGAGCCGCCTCCATCTTAGCTCCCTGTCAATCATTGTTATAAGCTCCGCCCTTTACACCTGGCAGTCAGTATAGAGAGCCGCCTCCATCTTAGCTCCCTGTCAGTCATTGTTATAAGCTCCGCCCTTTACACCTGGCTGTCAGTATAGAGAGAGCCACCTCCATCTTAGCTCCCTGTCAATCATTGTTATAAGCTCCGCCCTTTACACCTGGCAGTATAGAGAGAGCCACCTCCATCTTAGCTCCCTGTCAATCATTGTTATAAGCTCCGCCCTTTACACCTGGCTGTCAGTATAGAGAGAGCCGCCTCCATCTTAGCTCCCTGTCAGTCATTGTTATAAGCTCCGCCCTTTACACCTGGCAGTCAGTATAGAGAGAGCCACCTCCATCTTAGCCCCCTGTCAATCATTGTTATAAGCTCCGCCCTTTACACCTGGCAGTCAGTATAGAGAGAGCCACCTCCATCTTAGCTCCCTGTCAATCATTGTTATAAGCTCCGCCCTTTACACCTGTTAGTCAGTATAGAGAGCCGCCTCCATCTTAGCTCCCTGTCAGTCATTGTTATAAGCTCCGCCCTTTACACCTGGCAGTCAGCATAGAGAGAGCCACCTCCATCTTAGCTCCCTGTCAATCATTGTTATAAGCTCCACCCTATACACCTGGCAGTCAGTATAGAGAGAGCCACCTCCATCTTAGCTCCCTGTCAATCATTGTTATAAGCTCCGCCCTTTACACCTGGCGGTCAGTATAGAGAGCCACCTCCATCTTAGCTCCCTGTCAATCATTGTTATAAGCTCCGCCCTTTACACCTGGCAGTCAGTATAGAGAGAGAGACACCTCCATCTTAGCTCCCTGTCAATCATTGTTATAAGCTCCACCCTTTACACCTGGCAGTCAGTATAGAGAGAGCCGCCTCCATCTTAGCTCCCTGTCAATCATTGTTATAAGCTCCGCCCTTTACACCTGGCAGTCAGTATAGAGAGAGCCGCCTCCATCTTAGCTCCTGTCAATCATTGTTATAAGCTCCGCCCTTTACACCTGGCAGTCAGTATAGAGAGAGCCACCTCCATCTTGGCTCCCTGTCAATCATTGTTATAAGCTTAGAGAGCATACAGAGAGGCGTAGACATGAAACAAGGGGTAGGGAGGGGGGGGGTTATGTATAAAAACTGTCCCATTCTCTTTCTCCAGAAGGTTCTGTAGAAAATGCACCATGTTCTTATTTTATAAAAACTATTAAATCACCATTATACACTGAGCTTTTCTGCCTCTTCTGTAATACTGTTTTTCTGCCACTTTTTATTCCTTTTTCCCCCAGTGATGATTTTTACCATCACATTCACAAAATATGAAGACAAACGAGTAATATTAGGGGGAGGGGGTGGGGGACTTTTTTATTCCTCAAACATATTAAAAAAACACACTGCTTTAGAGAATGCTATCAGTTGGTCTCTCATCTCCTCATCCCTGACCTAAGCCTTTGTCTGCAGTTTCCCACCTACTGTGCTCCCTCCTCCCTTCCTTCAGGTACATAGAAATCTCATTCCTTCACTTCACTCTGTGGATTTGTCCCTTTAGATCGCAAGCTCTTGTGGGCAGGGCCCTCTTCACCTATTGTCTTGTTAGAATGACTTGTTTAGCTTGTGTTACAGAATACGATCGTGTTATCATTAAATGTTCTCGCATAGCAAGACCACTTAATGTTATCTCACATATATATTATTAAGTGTTCTTGCATAGCAAGACCACTTAATGTTATCTCACATATATATTAAGTGTTCTTGCATAGCAAGACCACTTAATGTTATCTCACATATATATTATTATTATTATTATTATAGCCAAATTTGCCACCCTAACTCCTCCCACAGTTTTTACACTACATAGACCAAAAATTTACCAAAACGTGCAGATTGTTCCCGATCGGATTGCTATTACTTTGTGGAACGCTTCGACGAATGGTTCACGGAATATCGTCGCTTTTGTGGCGAAATTTGTCCCATAGGAATGAATGGCAAAGCTAGAGTGGGAGCTGCCAAAAGCTGAAAAATCAGGACATGATTTCTAAACTGCCACCACTCCCTTTATTTTCAGGCCCACCTACACAAATCTTATATCAAAACGTTCAGCTATCCCTGCTGCCACTAAACATGTCAACGGCTAAGCCGTAGTCCTGATAGTTTTCACAATATGACCATTTGTTTGCAACCAACGCCGTCCATTGACATTCATTGAAACTTCACTCTGCAAAACTCAAATTTGAAGTGCAATTTCTAAACTGCGACTGTGCCTTTAATTTTAATACTTCAGAGACATACTATGCATCAAAATGTAGGTCTGGGTCTTGTGATTCTCACAATATAAAGCTCTTCACTGTAGGATGTATAGTTCTACAGTTGTAGACGACTGGTGGAGGCAAGAACACTTCACACAATTTCCCCAGAAATTGTAGCTTTTCTACTTTAAATTGTAATTAATTAAACAAAAAGGACTCCTCTTAAAAACTGCTTTCCTGACATGGAAAATTCGCAACTCTGACAGTTGCAGAAAAAAATACATGGAGGGAAAAAAGTGCACTTTTTATACATCAGAAGCAACAAATTTGTGAACAAAAAAAAAAAAAAAGCCAAGCTGGAACAGGAAAATACAATGACAGAAAAGGTGTAGTACAACTTTAGTGCAAATAAAGACACAAATAGGAAAAGCAGCACAAACATGCATAGAAAGTTATCATGACACAATATTTCTATTTCTGCAATGTGTGCCCTGTCTGTGCTTTGTCTGAACTGGATTATGATGCCATTTGCTAAATCTTTAAAGGGACCCTATAGGGTCAGGAATACAAACATGTTAACCTGCTCCTATAGTGTTAAAACCACTGGTCGGTACTACCCCCTTTTAAATACATTAAAATATTACATTTATTCCAATGCTGCACGGGTCCGCCACCTTGTGCAGCATTGACCCAGGAAGCACCTATAGTAGCCGTCTCAGTTACAGTCACTGGAGGTGTCCCTAGGGAGCAATGTAAACACTGCCTTTTCTCAGAAAAGGTAGTTTTTACAGCAAAAAGTCTACAGGGATAGGATATTGACAGAAGAACAACTACATTAAGCTGTATACCATCCATTAAGCTATATACCGTCCATTAAGCTATATACTGTTCATTAAGCTGTATATAGTATAGTAAGCTTTATACCGTACATTAAGCTGTATACTAAATATTAAGCTGTATAATATTCATTAAGCTGTATATAGTATAGTAAGCTTTATACCGTACATTAAGCTGTATACTATATATTAAGCTGTATAATATACATTAAGCTGTATACTATATATTAAGTTGTATAATATACATTAAACTATATACTATATATTATGCTGTATAATATTCATTAAGCTGTATAATATACATTAAGCTGTATACTATATATTAAGTTGTATAATATACATTAAACTATATATTAAGCTGTATAATATACATTAAGCTGTATACTGTATATTAAGCTGTATATTGTACATTAAGCTGTATACTATACATTAAGCTGTATAACGTACATTAAGCTGTATATTGTACATTAAGCTGTATAACGTACATTAAGCTGTATATTGTACATTTAAAACCCCTTCAGCAGCTTACCTTTATCCAGCACCGGGCTCCCTCGGCACTGGTGACCTCTCCTCCCCCGCCGACGTCAGCTCCCAAGTGGAGCGGAGAGGAGTGCATTCAAACAGTCCATAGGAAAGCATTTCTCAATGCTTTCCTATGGACGTTCTGGATGCGAATTTCGTATCCAACGTTGCAGAAGCGCCTCTAGCGACTGTCAGGAAGACAGCCACTAGAGGCTGGATTAACCCTGCAATGTAATCATAGCAGTTTCTCTGAAACTGCTATGTTTACATCTGAAGGGTTAAAGCCTGAGGGACCTGGCACCCAGACCACTTCATGAGCTGAAGTGGTCTGGGTGACTCTAGTGTCCCTTTAACTGTTACTATATTTTGGTATAGTTCTCCTCATTTCCCCTGTTCTCCTCCTCTGTATGTATGTATATATATATATATATATTTATTTATTTTTCCCTCTCTTCCCACTTTTGTTGCATTAGATGGAGTTTTCTATTTTAGCACAGACGTGTGCATGGCTAATCCTATACCAGGTTTACTCCACTACTGCACACAACCTTATTACGTTTTTGTTGTTGTTTAACCCTTACTAATCCATAATTTAGGACTTGCTATCGCTACTTCCCCTAGCCAGGCGACCTATTCTACCCAGGCTAGTTCACTTTATCTATCTCTAGTAGTGATATTTATTATCATGGTATTGGTTTTACTTCCTTAATACAGATCACTCAATTCACGTTTTTGTACACAAGCACATTTAGATTTTAGATTCTATACTGTTTAATAAAATGTATTCATTTTTCTTCTTTCTGCTTTCTATTTTTATTATATTGCTCCTTGTCTGACAGACAATTTGTACGAATTAGTTACCTATATTCAAGTACATCTCATTTATCCCAGTCCCTCTTGGTACACACCTTTCGTTAGTTTATTAAGCAGTATACTGTATATTAAGCTATATACTGTACATTAACCTGTATACTGTACATTAAGCTATATACCGTACAATAAGCTGTATACCGTACAATAAGCTGTATACTGTATATTAAGCTGTATATTGTACAATAAGCTGTATACCATACATTAAGCTGTATACCGTACATTCACATTAAAAAGCTTTTAAAACAGTTACAGTTCAGTAAGGACATGTATATATGTTTCCATATCAGTGGAGTCAATAGTGCACGTTCTGAAAACAAAACAAAACGTAAACAAAAACTGGAATTTGCGCTATATGTCTGTTTAACCGTAATTCACCGCAGTCACATTAAGTGCACCCACACTTATTATATATCATTTTTTTTCAGGAGAAACAGGGCTTTCATTCATCATTAACTGTTCATATATGGAACATAATTTATTATGAATAAAATTTAAAAAAATGTAAGAAAATAAGATTTTCTTTTTAAAATTTGTATTTCCGTCTATTTAGCTGTGAATGTCATAATACTGTTAGGTTTTACTGCAAAAAAATGCACATATTTGTAATCAGCGATGTCTCACGAGTACAACAGTACCCCCCATTAACAGGTTTTATGGTGTTTTGGAAAGTTACAGGGTCAAATATAGACTGTTCCATTTTCAAATTGAAATTTTCCAGATTAGTAATGTTACCTTTGAGACGGTATGGTAGCCCAGGAATGAGAATTACCCCCATAATGGCATACCATTTGAAAAAGTAGACAACCCAAGGTATTGAAAGTGGGGTATGTTTGGTCTTTTTTAGTAGCCACTTAGTCACAAACACTGGCCAAAGTTAGCGTTCATATTTTTTTTTGTGTGAAAAAAAGCAAAACAAAAGAATATTTGGCCAGTGTTTGTGACTAAGTGGCTACTAAGAAAGTCTGGACATACCCCACTTGCAATACCTTGGGTTGTCTACTTTTGCAAATGGTATGCCATCATGGGGGTAATTCTCATTCCTGGGCTACCATAAACTCTCAAAGGCAACATAACCAAACTGGCAAATTTCAATGTCAAAAAAATTAAATGCAAGCCTTATATGTGACTTTCCAAAACACCATAAAACCTGTACATGGGGGGTACTGTTATTCTCGGGAGACTTTACTAAACACAAATATTAGTGTTTTAAAACAGTAAAACATATTACAACAATAATATAGTCCATAAAAGTGCAGTTCGTTTGTAAAAAATGCAAAAAACGTCACTTTTACTTAAAATATCATCGTTGTAATACAATTTACCAGTTTGAAACACTAATATTTGAGTTCAGCGAAGTCTCCCGAGTAAAACAGTACCCCCTATGTACAGGTTTTTTGGTGTCTTGGAGGTTTACAGGGTCAAAAATAGTGCTTGCGAATTAAATTCTCTGCACTTTCTCCCTGTGTTGTCAGGCATGTCAATCAAATTTTAATTAATCAAATCACATAATTATGTTAAAAGATTACTTAAATATACACGTAGACTTTTAATATATATGCATTTATAGGTATTTAAATTCTACGTGTATACTAATGTAATCTTTTATGTAATTATATGTATTTATCTCTCTCTCTCTCTCTCTCTATATATATATTTGCGGTTATTTGTATTTTATATATATATATATATATATATATATAATGTCATTCTAAGTGTATTTTGTTTCCAATATATATATATAATAATAACAAAATACAGTTAGAATGAAATTACATATGAATATATAATTTATATTAAATTTTGTTTCAATATTTTATTTATTAATTGTATTTTATTTATTATTGTAATTATACGTATATATATATATATAATATGTGTATATATCTATTATATATATATAATATATACATATTATATATATGTAACGTAATTCTAAGTGTATTTTAATACTAATATATGTACTTAATATTAATATTAAAATACACTTTGTATGACGTTACATATATATAATATGTATATATATATATATATATATATATATATATATATAATTAATATATACACATATTATATGTCTATAAATATATTTATTTTATTTTCTAATATGTTTAATTCTTTTTTTTTTTTACACTTTCCACCAGCAGGGGGACTGTCTGACAATTCAGACAGTCCCCCTGCTGGCAGATCCACAGCCAGCTATAGGGGGCCATGTGATCACTCTTTGAGAGCGATCACATGGCCCCCGGAGGCCTCATTTGCCGTGGGAGGGCTACCTGGGCTGTGAGGCAGTCCTCCCGAAGTGGAGCGCCGGGTAGGTAAGTATCCCGGGCGCTCCAGGGCTCAAAGCCGTTACGGCGTTCTATGCCGCCGCAGCGGCTTTAAAGCCCACTCATTTCGGGGCGGCATAGAACGCCGTAACGGCGTGAAGGGGTTAAATAGGTCTCTATCCCTTTTTGCTAACAGGCCTCCAGTGATAGCGTATCATTTTGTACAGTTTAATGGTTCACATATTGGCTATGAATAGCTGTGCTCCCCAGATTTAGACTTATGTCTATGCAAACAGTCACTGTTTTGTCATTGTCCCCACTATGGTGGAGTTGGAGGATAGTGTGAAGGAATTACTCCATCACTATTCGGCTCTGTTTGTTTGGATTTTATGTCATGTGTCCTTAAGGGGTTAAGCAATTCTCCCATGCAAGGGAGAAACCCACAATAATTAGTACAGTAGCCAATCCTTTACTTGTTACCTCCCACACATCTCCTCCCCTTAGTATGACACATAATCCACTTATACAGTATATGGTTTTACCCAGTTTTCAGATGTACCCCAAATATATTAGATACAATGTTACATTATATATCCCCTGGTAGCCCTGATCTGGGCGAGTAACATATTCAAAAATCACCCAGATCGGACCAGGGGTTCGGGATTTAGTTGGAAATAGAAATTTGACCGACCGCACATGAGGCAGTAGCCGAAAACACTTCCATGTGTTTTGGCCTTGCGGTCGTTCTTTGTTCGGGACATAAAGAGCATGAAAAACTTTGCCATCCAGAGCTGAGGTGGGGTTCGGATGAATCCCCTTGTTCGGGTGATTCATTTAAACGAATGATGGCCTGATTCGTGGTTCCGTTCGGTAGTTCTGGAGCTCTGGAGGTCTTAGCGGTGTTCGGGTAATCGAGTGTCCGATTTGGGTTCCAGACACTCGACGACCAAACACCGCTGAGCGTTCGTATGCAAGATGGCCACCGCCACGTGTTCGGAAGCCGAACGGCGGCCACCCTGCAAGCCCACAAAGAGGGTTACTCAATTGCCAATTTGCTGGTTGTTACAATGACTCAGGGGTAGACGAGGGGCACACTTATCCCTAGGGTGGTCTGATTGTTCGGTAGTTTCATTCGTATGATGAACGGAGTGATTTTACCGAACAATCAGTCGAATGCTGCATACAATATGAATACACATAGCAGGAAATTAACGAAAGCTCATTTTAACACAATTTTAGCAGACAGCCCAATGCAATCAGCTACAAGTGACACCCTGGTGTCACCCATTCTGTAGTCAGTGGCATCCTGGTGTCACCCATTCTGCAGGCAGTGACACCCTGGTGTCACCAATTCTACAGTCAGTGACACTTTGGTCCCCCCCCCCCCATTTTGCAGTCAGTGTCAACCTGCTCACAATAAAGATGTTTTCCGGGAATAATACTGCTTGTTTATTAACGCCTATTCTCGTCCGCGCAGGAGCTGATGTCCCTGGACAGGAAGGAGAGAGCAAGGATGGCAGAGGACACTTCCAGTGCCAGCAGTGGGTCGCCCACTCCAGGTGACACCCTGCCCTGGAATCTATCCAAGAACCAGCGGGTTAAGAGGTCCTCCTCTGCATCTGGTGGTGGGACTGTGCTGGACGCGGCTGAGAGGGCAGTAATCAGGATTGCAGGTAGGACACATGGTGTATTTATAATACATTGCAGTTTATTCACTAGCCTCGTAGCCAGATCGGGGAAATGTTTCAAGATCAGCTTTTTTTTTTTTTGCTGACAATTAGCAATTCCTTCTTTTTTGTTTTACTTGTAATCTGCAATTTATCACAATTTCCAGTTAGTGTGGTGCTGATTCCTAGCGCTGCATGGTGAATGAAGCGTACCACGGGTGAGATGCATTTCTTGATTTTTGAAAGCATTGATTACACGTTGCATTACATCTTTTTATTTTATTAAGATTGATTTTATGCCAATCATGTTAATGTTGGATTCTATGAATCTCTTTAATTGGTATTGTTTTTCACTGATAAATTAATTTCTGATCTTTGCTAGAAAAGTTCAATTTTGATCTTACAAAATAACAGGGTAAATGAATTGGCTGCTATATTGGTGTACTGAAAGGTGTGGCGAACAGAACCTTGCCAGCCTCCTGCCTCCGGACTATGGGCCCTGCAATATAACTTGCCCAATGTACTCTAAAATGCTCTGTTCCAGTGATTTGTGTACTTTTGGACTCCAGAAAGAGAGACCGACCGCAAGCCCCTATTCCCTGGAACTGTTTTGGGCATAGGACCATGTGCATGGTCGGTCAAAATTATGACTTCCATGGAAATCCCGAACCCCTGAATGATCTGGGTGAGTTTTGGATGTGTTGGTCCCCCCAGATCGGGGCTATCAGGGGATATGACTTTTGTGGGGTTCCCATGTGTTTTGGTGGTACGTTCGGGGTTATTGTAAAATATAAGTTTTCTGTGCCTGGAGATAATGGCGTTTAGTACAGTTCCTGACTCAGTAATCTCTCAGGTACAGGGGAGGGATTATTCTGTGTTGTGTGGGAGTGTCCTGGACCTGAAAGCCTATGTAATTAGAATGTGTTATGGAAACCCCCTGGCATGGGGACTTGCATATAAATCCAGTTGTGGCTGCCAATAAAGGAGTTCCTCTTCACCCTCAACATAGAGCCTCGTCTCATGCGTGGAGGGAACAGCTATATTCACTCTGGGGATTGCTATACTCATTATACTCCCTTAGATTATAATCATTAGCTCTTGTAAGACCTATCCTGCTTTACTCTCTGGATTGGGAGAGGTCTGGATCCTGGTCTTGGGTCCAGGGTGGGTGGAGGACAGCGAAACCCCAACCAAGCTGTAACGCTGGCTGTGGTGTTTACGGTGGTTATGATGTCTGGTGGAGTGCTTGGAGTATTCGGTGAGCACTAGGAAACATCGATTGGCCAAGGCACCCAGTCAGGGTTCCAGGCGCTTCGCCACAAAAGGTACTATTGATAACTTGGGAATGCATTCCTACTCTGTATTGTATAGGGGTTTAGAATAAGCTTCTATCCTGCACGTGGTGTCAATCCGTGATGTACATGCTAGGATTTTGTGGTCTGAAGATCTCCCTATAAGATTCTGGAAAGTACAGCAAAGTATTTTTTTAGGGTGAAAGGATGCCCTGTTTCAGGAGACAAACCTACTGTTTGCATACATCATGCATGTCTTGTTAGAATGAAATGTTTGTCTTGTTCAGCTATGGTACAGCACTGCGGAATATGTTGGCGCTATTTACAATGATTGGAATTGCGTTATTTACTTGAAGGACCACATGTCTGAACAATAACAGACTTAATGTATCTGTATGTATTGGTAGAGGTTAACCTGAGCTCAGACAACAATCAGATTAAACAAACATGGCTTTTCACTTAAATCTGATTACATTTTAACATTTTTGGGGTTTGACCAAATTACTAGAGTAAATTTTGGTGTAAAATCGTGAGATTCGTTCCCATACTCCAATCAGAATTTAGAAAAAAAGTGTGTCTAAAAAATTTGTTTTTAACCCCTTAAGGACTGGACTGTTTTTGCGATGTTGTACATTTGCGACCAGGCATATTTTTACACTTTTGTGGTGTTTGTGTTTGGCTGGAATTTTCCGCTCTCTCATTTACTGTTCCCATACAAATTATATATTGTTTTTCAGGACAAAAGGGGCTTTCTTTACATACCATTATTTATATAATCTCATGTATTTTAATTTAAAAAAAATAAAAAAATATAATGAAAAATTGAAAAAAATACATGTTTTTTGACTTTTACTTGAAAAATCTTTTACTCATCTACAAAAGCGAATTAAAAAAACTTCTAAATAGATTCAAAATTTTGTCCTGAGTTTAAAAATACCCCGTGTTTACATGCTTTTTTGCTTTTTTTTGCATGTTATAGGGCTATAGGTACAAGTAGAATATTGCGGTTTCAAAACATAAATTTTGTAAATTTATCAATAGTGACATTGTAACACTATTATCTGTCATAAATCTCTGAATAACACCCCACATGTACATATTTTTTTTAAAGTAGACAACCCAGGGTATTCAATATGGGGTATGTCCAGTCTTTTTTAGTAGCCACTTAGTCGAAAACACTGGCCAAAGTAAGCATTCATATTTGTTTGTGTGTGAAAAAAGTAAAAAAACTAAATTGAACGCTAATTTTGGCCAGTGTTTGTGACCAAGTGGTTACTAAAAAAGACTGGACATACCCCATTTGCAATACCTTGGGTTGTCTTCTTTTGCAAATGGTATGCCATCATGGGGGTAATTCTCATTCCTGGGCTACCATACGCTCTCAAAGGCAACGTAACCAACCTGGCCATTTTCAATGTAAAATATTTGACCCATATATTTGACCTTGTAACTTTCAAAAATGCTATAAAACCTGTACATGGGGGGTACTGTTTTACTCGGGAGACATCGCTGAACACAAATATTAGTGTTTAAAAACTGGAAAACCTATCACAACAATTATATCATCAGTAAAAGTGCTGTTTGTGTGTGAAAAATGCAAAAAAAGTCACTTTCACTGACAATATCATCGCTGTGATATGTTTTACAGTTTTGAATCACTAATATTTGTGTTCAGCGAAGTCTCCCGAGTAAAACAGTACCCCCATGTACAGGTTTTAGGGTGTCGTAGAACGTTACAGGGTAAAATACAGTGCTAACAAATTCAATTCTCTGGAATTTCGGCCTGGGTTGGCAGGCAGGTCCCTCAAATTGCAATCAATAAAATTACTGAATTATGTAAAAATATTACATAAATACGCACGTAGAATTTAAATATATATGCATATTTATATATTTGAAGTCTACGTGTATATTTATATAATTATTTATGTAATTTTGTATATGGACATATGTATATTTCTTATTATTTTTATTTATTTTTATATACATAGATATATATACAAATTCATTCTAAGTGTATTTTGATATAAATATATATATATTAATTTTAAAATACAGTTAGAATAAAATTTCATATAGATATAATTTTTTTTAATTTTTTTATTATTATTTTAAATTTTTTTTATTTAATTTAAATTACTTATTTATATTTTATAATAATATATATATACAATATATATAGTTATTATATATATTATATATATATACGTGCGTAATTTAATTATAAGTGTATTTTTATATTAATATAAGTACATATTAATATAAAAATACACTTAGTATGACATTATATAAATATATATATGATAGATAGACATATTATATAGATATAAATATAGGCAAAAATGCCGATGACGGTCCTGAACCGTCCTCGGTCGCTAAGGGGTTAAAAAAACCCAAAAAATAAATAAATCCATTTATAGTGTATCAATATAAATTTCCATTCATTCACACTGCGTGCATTCCCATTCGTTCACACTGCTTGCATTACCATTCGTTCACACTGCTTGCATTCCCATTCGTTCACACCGCGTGCATTCCCATTCGTTCACACCGCGTGCATTCCCATTTGTTCACACTGCGTGCATTCCCATTTGTTCACACTGCGTGCATTCCCATTCGTTTACACCGCGTGCATTCCCATTCGTTCACACTGCGCACATTCCCATTCGTTCACACCGCGCACATTCCCATTCGTTCACACTGCGTGCACTGGCATAACCTCCCTCCCATCCTTCCATCATGCATAAAGTGAGTGAGGGATTAAAACAGGTGGAGGATATCCCTGGAATCTTTTAGCCAGGGTCAGTCATTAGTAAAAGCTAGGGTCACCTGGCACATACAGGGAGTGCAGAATTATTAGGCAAGTTGTATTTTTGAGGATTAATTTTATTATTGAACAACAACCATGTTCTCAATGAACTCAAAAAACTCATTAACATCAAAGCTGAATATTTTTGGAAGTAGTTTTTAGTTTGTTTTTAGTTTTAGCTATGTTAGGGGGATATCTGTGTGTGCAGGTGACTATTACTGTGCATAATTATTAGGCAACTTAACAAAAAACAAATATACACCCATTTCAATTATTTATTATTACCAGTGAAACCAATATAACATCTCAACATTCACAAATATACATTTCTGACATTCAAAAACAAAACAAAAACAAATCAGTGACCAATATAGCCACCCTTCTTTGCAAGGACACTCAAAAGCCTGCCATCCATGGATTCTGTCAGTGTTTTGATCTGTTCACCATCAACATTGCGTGCTGCAGCAACCACAGCCTCCCAGACACTGTTCAGAGAGGTGTACTGTTTTCCCTCCTTGTAAATCTCACATTTGATGATGGACCACAGGTTCTCAATGGGGTTCAGATCAGGTGAACAAGGAGGCCATGTCATTAGATTTACTTCTTTTATACCCTTTCTTGCCAGCCACGCTGTGGAGTACTTGGACGCGTGTGATGGAGCATTGTCCTGCATGAAAATCATGTTTTTCTTGAAGGATGCAGACTTCTTCCTGTACCACTGCTTGAAGAAGGTGTCTTCCAGGAACTGGCAGTAGGACTGGGAGTTGAGCTTGACTCCATCCTCAACCCGAAAAGGCCCCACAAGCTCATCTTTGATGATACCAGCCCAAACCAGTACTCCACCTCCACCTTGCTGGCGTCTGAGTGGGACTGGAGCTCTCTGCCCTTTACCAATCCAGCCACGGG